AAAAAAGAAAGAAAAAAAAAAATGTAAATTATATATATAATTATATATATCGTCACAAATAGAACTGCCCGGTAAACCGTAGGCAGAGAGAGAGAAGAGGACAACAAACGAGGGGCTGTGACAAACTGTTTCGTCGGAGTTTCACCGATATATATATATATATATAACAGAAAATGGGGAAAGCAAAGATAGAACTTTTCATTTCCCACATCGCACCAGTTCTGCTTGAGCTCGGAAAAGTACATCAACGGCGTGCTCCGCTTAGCGAGTTCCAAAACTGACCTTCTTTCTCAATGTCAAGGCATCCACCCAATGCGCATGTCCAAGTACCTGAACCCGGTCAGAATGCACGTCGACTTGCACATGTCCAACTACGTGATCTTCCTGCATAAAATCTGCACCCGAACATGAAGATGCCAGGTGCATTCTGACCGGGGGCTGGTTTTGTCCTTGCGAACATAAACCAGCAGTTTCTCCTCTTCACTGTTCCAACGTCAGACAACTTCAAGAATGATGGCAATAAATTAATTAATTAGTGTCGCCACAATTTTTTATCCCTTTACAAAAGAGAGTTACACCTCTAAATTATTGCGTAATGACTTCTAAAAAGAAATAAATGACTAATAATGACATCAATGTATTAAACATGAATTGAATTTTGAACCCTTAACCTGTTAATCATGGGCTATAGCCAGGTGTGTAGCATTCAGCCACCAACTACAGACTCACAAAGGAAAAAAGAGACGTGCAGTTTGACTCCGTTCGAGACAACAAAGGAGACGTAACGACCTGCAAAATCACAGACTGAGGACTCTGCTGATTTCTGAGTTTTGCTGCTGGAATGTGTGCCTTGCTGAGATTCCTCCGCACACACACACACACTTAGAAACCTCAGCAGAAAGCTTGAGGAGGAAGATGGAAGCATCTCTTGGGCCGTACAGTGCGTCTGGTGTGCCCCGTCCACTGACGCACTGTACGGCCCAAGAGATGCTTCCATCTTCCTCCTCTTGCGCCTGTCCTAGTGCGTCAGTGGACAGGGCTGATCCATCATTTGCTTGCTATTTTCCGTGTACCTGTCTGAGTGCATGACTACTTGAGGGTGTGTGTGACCCGCCAGGGTACGTTTATGTTTGTGAGGCCCTCAGGGACGGTACTTACCTGTGGCCGTGACATCGAAGGTTGTAGCGTAGGAGGTCGGTGTAGCTTAGGGTAGTGCTCGAGTAGCGTTAGACCGAGAAGAAGAAGACAAAAAGCTAGTACCTTTGGAGGCCGTGCAAATTTCAGGAGTCCAGTAGTCTAGGGTACCAATTTCAGGAGTCCGGTAGGCTTAGGTCTAGGGTACCAATTTCAGGAGTCCGGTAGGCCTAGGTCTAGGGTACCAGTCCAGAATTCTACGGCCTGTAGCGGGCGATATCAGACCTGCAATGATGTTTCCCTCCGAAAGGAGGATGGTACCGGTTGCTTGGGAGGCCGCGCTGCCTGGAAGTCACCCCCCAAGAGGCAAAAGTTGGCCGGTATATCTCCAAGAAGAGTGACTTGCTCTTCCTCATTTGCAGCGCGCAAGTTCGGGCGTCAAGCTGCTAGTGCGCCTCGTGGTAGAGCGCTAGTGTAAAGCGCCAGGGGGAGGAGCGCCTGGCCATCCACCTTGGCTATGGTGGAGTGGACCAGGAAGGAGGAGGAGAAAGAAGGGATTGAGGAGGAGAGCGGTAGGGGAACTTATCGGGCTATGGTGGACATCATCTTCATCTCCTTGGTAGGCGCTGCACCTGGAAGACCCCAGTAGGGGTTGCGCTGCAAGGCTTCAGGGTAGAGTCACGCATGGCGGCCTGAGTTGCAGGGGGCAGGCATATCAGCTTTTGTGTTGTCTTTCAACATTGGGGCAGGGGCCCTAGTAGTTCACCACAGCCATCACCCACCAGAGGAGGTTGAAGGAGAAAAATCATGGCTATGGTGGACCTCATGTAGTGCGGGCAGTAAGAGGGAGATTCGGATATTGGTTCTGGTTCAGCCATTCATTGTTATTATTGTTATACTATTTGTTCAGGAATAAGATTGGGGGATATAAGGAGGATGGACTGAGTGGCGAGAGAAGGGGGTTGGGTTTTGTTATTGGTCTTTTGCTGGTGCAGGGTGCACATCTTCTTCTTCTTTCTTTCTTTCTTTCTTCTTTCTTCTTTCTTCTTTCTTCTTCTTCCTTTGTCTCTTTCTCTTTCAAAGTTCTTTGATTTCTATTGCAATTGATCGCCATTGTCTTTCCTTCCTTGTGTATTTGCACTTCGGAATGACCAGGATCGTAACAGAGAGGCAGAAAAAAAGATAAAAGTTTGAAAGAATATCTAAAAATACAACATGCGACAATGCGTGGTACATGTAGATCATCACCGCTTTTGCTTATATGACGCATAGTCTCACTGAAGTACATTACCTGTTCCTGATAGCACACTCTGCAATCAGAGGCCAGCGACGAGTGGTTTTTTGTTGGGCGGTCCAGAGGGCGGAATTAAACCACATGACCTGTATCCGACCCTATATTCAGCAAATGTACATCCAGAGATCGGGGATTTGTCAAACGACCAGTACATCGCCCCAGGCAAAACGAGAATCGGAATCGCCTCATTCCGGAAATTTCAGCGGCTCAGAGCAACCGGCCGACGACTGGATGGCGGCGCCAGCAGCCAAAATGAAAACGTCCATGCTCGTGTTTCAGCAACGGTTTGGCCCACAAGGGGTATCCACCTCGAACAATAGAGGCTCGGATTAAAAGGTTGTTCAGTAGTGGAGCCAAGCCCGCGATATCAGGTTGTTGGCCCCCAGCAGAGGTCTGTTCCAGTTTGATATCAGGAGACATTTGGGCAGAACAAAAGACACACACGATTGTCCCGATGGATGGAGGCGATGTGCGCACGCCCTATCCCTGTCCTATTAATGAAACAAATGCGCACCCCTCTGGCAGTGCACCACCCTATACTCAGAATCCTGGTTGGCCCAGTTGCTGGCCATGATGGGGGTAATAATGCGCGTCCATCTGGCAGTGCACCACCCCATACTTAGAATCCTGGTTGGCCCAGTTACTCAGAATCCCTGTCCTAATCCCAGTTAAAAGGGCCTTAACCCGATTCAGACCCTGTTCGGCAAATACAGCATAGAGGGGTCACTCGCCCAGGGCCCAACTCGTGAAAGCAGATCAAAGGACATGTTCTCTGGGTCAAAAGTCACATCCTAGCTAAGTAAAAGCCAATGTCAAAGGTCACAGTTGTGCCCTGTACGAACAGTTGCAATATTTAGATTTGGGGGTCACATCTGTTCGTCCAGAGGGTGTGTAGGTCATGTCTGTTCAGGCAAGAGGTGTGTCTGTACGTGCAGTATGTGTGTCTGTTCGTGAAGAATGTGTGTCTGTCCAAAAGGAAGTCAAAGGGCAGGTTCCCAGTTCTGTCTAAGTCTAGATTCAGACACCCAGTCCGAAATCCAGGCCCAATGGCCGCGGCAGCAGCAGACCCTGAGGGGAAAATACTGGGACACACACATATGCCTGGGTCTAGGACTGAAGGAGGCCCAAAGTGCCAAACAGACCAATGCAGACCTCGCCAGGGGAGGCCAGCAGTATAAAGCAATAGGCCAGTCTCCCTTTACATCAGATTCCCACTGGCATTATCAGCGTGGAAGTGCTGCGTGCACTTGTGCGCTGGCTAGCTGGGTTAGCGCTGGAGGAGAAGCTGCGCTGGAAGGAAGAAGGAGCTGGGCGCTGGCTTGCAAGAGGCAGCCATAGCTGCACCAGTCAAGTAGCATAGTTATGGTTAGTTGTTAGTCTACAGTGAGTAGCATTCAAAGTAGATCTTCGTGGTAGGAGTGTGCATGTATGATGAGAGAGGAGGACTGAGACTGAGATCTTGAGGAAGGAGAGAGAGAAGTAAGAGACAGGTTGACGAGTTGGCTATGGTGACTACTTACCTGTTCTGCGCTTGACGAGTTGCTGAGAGGTGGCGCTGGCTCAGCCAGGCCCCATTGTGCTGATGTTCGAGAGAGGGACGTGTCATGATTGTTGAGCGCTTGAATTCATGAACTCGAGATACTCTTGTATAATGTGTTAATGATTAATTGAGCTGCGCGACTTGGTTCTCATCTCATCCCCATTCTGCGTTGTGTGTGGAGTCATAATCTGTGTGAATGGTGAAGTGGCATGCATTGTGTTACAATCTGGCAAGTGTTGACAGTCAGGTCCCTTGCACAGTCCTTGTTGATGGGCCTAATGCCGCTAATCCCATTCCTTGTTAATCAGGCACGCGCACATTTCTGTTCATGGGGCTGATCCCAGTCCTCGATCCGGTCACTTTTCCCACAAAAGGTTGACCCCCACATCAGGTCGTGATGGTCAGGGGGTTGGGGAGGGGACGGGGGAGGACGGGAAGATGTGCAGGGCAGGAGGCATGGCGAGAAAGATAACAAGAATGACAAAGTAGGGGGACAACGAAATCGAAAGCTAGAAACATGATCGTGAGCCAAAATTTGATACCACTCAATGTTGTTTCCAGTTGAAATGGACCAACCACTATGCCCTCACATTTTAAGGTCATCATCATGCCCATCCTACCAGGTTATCACATCATCATCGCAGTGCCACCACCTTTACCATCATCATGATTAGTGTAAACATGAAGCACCATCATCATCATCATCATCATCATCATCATCATCATGGCATTGGCGTTCAAATCATCATCATCAACAAGAGCAACAGCAACAGCAACAACAACAAGTTTGCTACACACCCTCATCATGAAGGTATACAGGCCATCTTTCCAGCCCGATACAGTAATCACGATAAGGGGGCACTGTGTTTGCGGCCAGATGGCAGTAGGCAGGAGTCGACTGTTCCTTGCTTCGTGGTATCTTTAGGCGAAGATACGACCAAGAAAGAGGCTCTAGGAGGTACACTTCTTTATGAGATTGACATTCAAGCCCGTGCGAGTGGCGTTTGCACTTCACCTATTCCACTTCCTTACATTCATCCATGGGACGTAGTATACATGATATGCCACATGTGCCAGGGATGCCGCAATTCCACCAGTTATGTAGAGCTTCAACAAAAAATGGCCTCCATAGGTCTGTGCAATCTGCAGCAGGCAATCCAAACAAAGATAGGTCAGAATCCACCTGACTTAAATAGACTTTGTGAAGTTTCAAATTAGAATAGGAGGTGCCGTCTTCACACCCGAATACAACGCCTAGTCATTCCAGCCATGTTTGGGGTAACTTTCAGTCCAGATACATTCATAACAACTGAGCGTTCTATTTGGGTGAAGACGGAAGGGTTACTTCTGCAGTGGGAGTTCAGCACGGACGGTGTGCATAGAGGATTCTGATTTAGTCAGCCACCATTTCCTGATCTTCATCATTATTTATTGGTCCGCTCTCTTCTTTTTTTTTTTTTGGGTCCGCTGTTTTTTCAAAACCCGATACAACAGTTTTGGCGAGAGGTGTAGTTGTATCTATAGCAGGGAAAAGTAGGGTTTATTCATTTGTTCCCCGATAGTATAATATCCCCGTTGCTGGAGCAATCGATGCCATCAGGGCAGTGGTCAGACAGCCAAAGGGATAGCTCTGCTACTGTCTTCCCCTGAATAGAACGAACGGTCATTATTGTGCATCTAGACTGAGAGTTGCCACATATACAGCTATAACGACCAAAAAAGTCCCCACAAATACAGCTGTAATGACTGTACATTCCTAGTCAGGAGAAGGTGTTAGCGACCCACAGTACGGGTTGTGAGGTCTCTCTGAGTAGACGGGCTTGCAGATGCACCATCGATACTCTCTCTCTCTCTCTCTCTCTCTCTCTCTCTCTCTCTCTCTCTCTCTCTCTCTCTCATGGTTTAATCTTATGGTACGTTGCGACGGGTTCCAAGCAAAAAGAAAAAAAAGAAAAAAAGAGTAAAAAGAAAAACGTTGTCCGACTGACCTCTGATCCAAAGAAGTAGAGCCCAGACATGTTGGCTCCCTCTCTGTCTCTCTCTCTCTCTCTCTCTCTCTCTCTCTCTCTCTCTCTCTCTCTCTCTCTCTCTCTNATGGTTTAATCTTATGGTACGTTGAGTCGGGTTCCAAGCAAAAAAAAAAAGAAAAAAACTTTAAAAAAGAGTAAAAAGAAAAATGTCATCCGACTGACCTCTGATCCAAAGAAGTAGAGCCCGGACATGTTCTCTCTCTCTCTCTCTCTCTCTCTCTCTCTCTCTCTCTCTCTCTCTCTCTCTCTCTCTCTCTCATGGTTTAATCTTATGGTATATTGGGACGGGTTCCAAGCAAAAAGAAGAAAAGAAGAAAAGAGTAAAAAGAAAAACGTTGTCCGACTGACCTCTGATCCAAAGAAGTAGAGCCCAGACATGTTGGCCACCATGTGCCATAGATCTGCATGGCTGAAGGCACATGTCAGAGTCGTGTAAAATCTTCCGTTCGCCACTGACTCAGCAGAAACCTGGTCAAGAGCAATCCATCTCCACTTGTCAGCAACTCCTTTTTTAAAAAAAAACGTGTTTATAAACTGGGATAATCAAACCACCAGTACCTCTGCACCATTTTCTCCCCAGGCAGACTTGTGCTCCGCGCCAAGGAAAACGAACCGGCGCGGCACCTTTTCTTTTTTTTTTGGCTAGCAAGCCTAGCATTGGCATGCAAAGACATCAGGTAGTCCGAACCCACAAAGAATTAAAATGGTGGTTGCATACAAACGGGTGGGGACAAAATGGCTGGAGAGGTATTGGTGGTTTAAGAAACGAAAAGTAAAAAAAAATGCACAATGGGGGCTAACAAGGGGGAAATGAGGAAATCAATCAAGTATTTCATCTTCCAATGGAGCCAGTGCCATCAACAAAATGTAAGGGACGTTGGACGCAGTCACCACAATTATAAATAGAAAATCCGATTCTTATTTAAGAGAAAAAAAAAAAAAACACTACTGCAAGGAATATGAGCGAGAGCGATAGACAGAAACCCAAGATGCAAAATCACAAAGTAGTCCAGATAGTCATGTACCAAGCAGAGACCACAATGCACCAAGATTCCATCCACATAAGAGCAGTACAAAGAGCTCAAGTGCCAATGCCGACACTGCTGGTCACATCAAAGCTGTATCCAATGTCACTCCTACTGTCTGGCGCTCAGTGCCCAGCCCACCCTACTCAGTCTATCTAGCCTATCTGCGTTCAAGCGACTGGATCACACCGAAGTCGAAGACCAATGTACGTGACGTCAACACGAATGCCGACCACCAGCATACACCAGGTACGTTCTCTCGCCTTCCCTCATCACCCCTTGATCACCTCCTCATGCGCCTCCTACCCGAAGACCACCATCGCCATCACCTGTATTGCACCCCTGCAGCCCGGCGACGGCTGCTGTGCGCCTGCTGCCGCGCAGCGCCCCTCTCACCTCAGCACCCGTGTGGGCGTCTGACCCGCAGCGCCCATGCAGACACTAGCGCAGCAACGCGGCAGCGTGTCCGCATTGCCTGCAAAGCCCAGAACGCCTGCCCAGGGAGGGCACACTTTCCTTTATGGAAAGTGTGTCCGCTGCTGGCTGGTCCGACCAGGTGTGTGAGGGGCCAGTAGCTTGCCTCTGGCCCCAAGGGTCTGCGCCCAGGCCCAGTTTCAGATACTGGCCTGGGCCTCGTGCAGTTAGGCACGCCCAGGCAGCCACACGGCCTCCAAGTGTTTGCAGCGTTGTCATTGGCTCGTGACACATCTGTGACGGCAATGCTGCTTCCTCATTGGCCCTCAACTTTTGGTTTCAAAATAGGTCCCAATGGAGTGGTGCAGGGAAAGCTATGAGGATGGGAGAGGGATGTGAGACAAGCAAGCCCAAACTTGCATCCGCCCCACCTTTTCATTTCCCTTGTTCCACAGGCAGGGAGGGGGGGAGAGGGAGGGGCATGGTGAGGAGGGGGGGGCGGGGGAGGGAGACGGGGAGGGGGTGACATCGTGGGGGAGGGGCCAGTGGGAAGGAAATCCTGCAGCAGTGTAATAGATCTTCTGAGTGGTCTGTCTGTCACAAATTCGACACAAAGGCACCCTCCATTTGAGTAGACGAGTATTTTACTCACTGTGAGCACATCCCTAGCTATCAGCCATCCGAAACTTGTTATCTCTGATCGGTTTGATTTTTCACCTTTCTCTTTCTTTCTTTCAAATTGACGAGTAGTCTCTGATGCTATTACAGTCACCTTTGAGTCTATCCGGATTTGAACTCGAGTTATGTGTGTGTACCTTCAGCCACATGGGCTGCTGAGTACACAATCCAGATGATTTGACTTTTTTTTTTTCTTTTTGACTTATTTCTCCATCTTTTTCAGAATTTGGTGGCGGGATCTGGTCTGTCAGGGTCCGGCCATACTGGTGCTACGCTCATGCTTTTTTTTTTTTTTTTCCTAATAACGTTCATGCTTTGACTTGCCCCTTGGGACAGTTGATTAACTTGTACACTACTCCTTGTCCCTTGGTGTATTAGACTCTAACAATCATCCTTTGGTGCAGTAGAACGATCTACAATTTCATTACGCCTACGCCTAAGGGTTTACGCTTGCTGTATCAATTTACTCGCTCACCCACTGTGCAAAAGGTCCGCCGTCGTTACCCTTTGCAGATCCATCATCCATTGATTGATGATGCATCTTTCCGCCTTCGACTGATTGCTTGCATCGGGTTTCGGGTTTTCTGTTTCACCCCCCTTCTTAGGGTTCTTGTCGCCTTTCCCTCACCACACTTGTACACTATCCGTCACTGAGAAATACTTAGGCTTAGAGGGTGGTCCCCCACAGAATACAAACACGGCACTACTTGTCTGTTTTGGTACCTTAGTCCGTTCCAACTTCCAACCCTTGGTTTCTTGTCCCTTGGTACAGTCCAGGGTAGACTACTACTTGTCCCTTGGTACAGTAGACAACTACTTCCCCCTTGGTACCATAGACTGCTTCTTGTCCCTTAGTACAAGGGGGTAACCAAAGCATGACAAGTAGGATGTGGCATCTTCAAGAAAAAGTGCAATCGCCCTTTGAGGGACTGGGGAGAGCGCAGGCTGTGAGGGTGATATGGGTGATATGGCATATGCTCGAGACCCGCTTTGGACAACCGTTAAGAATTCTCAGCGGACTAAGAAACTTAAAGAAAGTACAAGCAGGTGCAGCCAGCGCAGCTCCGCCCGCAAAAAAGAGTCAGGAAGCAACCCCAATGAAGAATCTCACTTCGCTCTTTCTGTCTCTGACTCTATGTTTTCTTTGTTAGTCTATGGCTGGTGCTTTCTGTATCACTGTTTTAGCTCTTGGCGTCTTCTGTCTTTCTACGTGTTTGTGGAAAGCAGAATAGTAAACAGCAATAGTCACAAACAGCAAGGTCATACACGGTCACAAACAGAATAATAAACAGCAACGAATCTTCAACGATTCGAAGAACATTATCATCGTCACCGAGAAAGAGTAGAAAACAGAATCGCTAAACTTAAAATAAACCGGCCACAAACGCCATCCACATATTCAATTTCACCGATTCGATTAACAACAGGTCAAGTTATGTTGACCTGTCACACTGCCCTCGGCTCTCTCTATATATATATATATATCTGTTTGTGACGATATATATATCGTCAAATAGAACTGCCCGGTAAACCGTAGGCAGAGAGGGAGAAGAGGACGACAAACGAGGGGCTGTGACAAACTGTTTCGTCGGAGTTTCACCGACTCATATATATATATCGTCACATATATACATATATATATATATATATCGTCAAATAGATATATATATATATCGTCAAATAGAACTGCCCGGTAATATCGTCAAACAGAACTGCCCGGTAAACCGTAGGCAGAGAGGGAGAAGAGGACAACAAACGAGGGGCTGTGACAAACTGTTTCGTCGGAGTTTCACCGACTCATCATATTGTCACAGAACTATTGACTAAGAGTGTAAGCACGTGAAGTAGAAGAAGAAATAAGACGAGTGAAGAAAAGAAAAATGAAAGGACAGACAGGCAAAGAGACAGACAGACCAGAATGACACAAAACAGTGTCCTCTTATTCTTTGTTTCTCATTATTATTATTTTTTTCAGTGTTTTACAAAAAAAATATACACTGAATCAAAGGATAAAAATAAAAAACAAAGACACATTGAAATCATTCAGTTTCTCAGTCTCCTTAACGCCTCCTCCACTATGCCTCTAATGTACAAGGCTCGCCACGTTGATGAAGTTGAGCGCGAGCTGCCCCCATCCCCGTATGCCATAACAGACGATATATATATATATATATCGTCAAATAGA